CTTCTAATCCTCTGTTAATGAATTATTGACCTTAGAAACAAATTGCTCAACATATGAGAAGGCTGCCCTCATCTCAGTAATTTTTACATTTTTACATGTCTAGTCGAGCTCATGGAGAACAGAAATCGTCTACTTCATCCACACACCTTTCAACTCAACACTTCCTTTTTTCCGTTCGGTTCTCTTTCTAGCAGAGCTAGGATATATAGTTAAATTTGAACGGATAAACCATTTTGGCATCAATTGCTGATTCTTACTGTAATTGACATGTTCTATAAACTCCTGCGTTAATTTGTAATTCAGCACCGACTTTTTGTTAGGGAGTTAGTTGGTTGAAGATAAGTTGTAAACTCCACCACCATTTGGTAATGTAATTCAGTGTTAATTCTAATGTTTTATTCTAGTGAAATTTATTAGTGACCATAACCACCAATTTGAACTATTTCCCTACTGATAATGCAGTCCCTCCGCCAATAACTTGTCTCGCTCTCAGGTTTAGCATCAGTTCGGACATTTCTGCCCCAGGGGCGATCCAATGGTCAACGTTCTAAATAGAAATTGGTTATCAGTAAATGGATCTACTGATGCTGACAAAGTAAAGTGTTACACACTGACCTGGTCAGACAACGTAAATTCTTTTGTAGCGTCACTGTCAGATAATCCGAACTCGTTCCTAGCCAGAAAAACGGCTTCATCCCCGGATAACTTTCCATCATTGTTGCTATCATACTTCTCAAAAAAGATCATAGGTAACTAGCCCAAATTTCCGCAGAATCTCAGACTTCACCTTGTGCAATAAATCACCCATTTCTTGTAGAGTTTTTCGAAGAGTAGCTCTCATTGGGATACATTCGTCCCCATCCAACTCACTGTTACGGTCTACATCACCAGCGAGGAAAATTCGCTCAAGCTCTTAAATACTTTCACTTTTTTTTAAACTATCAGTACAAGAAAGAGAACGTTGACCTGCACGGTTCAAATTCATAAGATTCAGAGTGAAATTAGTGAATTCGCGGAAGCTGATACCGCCGCTGTTGTTAAGGTCGTTGTCCTGAATTCGTAGTATATTTTTGGCTAGATTTGTTCATTGAAGAAGCTTTAATAATTTTTTTTT